GGGGCGGGGCGCGTCCTCCCTGCCCATGTGGGGGCCGCAACCCTGGCCCCTGGTAGCGCTGCCCGAGGGTGCTGACTACCCGAGGGGTAGTGCTAACCAAGTTCCCGTGCCCCAGTGTCATCCCCAGGGCCGGTGGCGGTGCATCGGTATTTTTTAAAAGCTCCCGCGCAGTCGGACCGTGCAGCCAGGTGGAGACCTCCGTGAGCTAATCTGACCTGTCGGGATTCAGCCCAGCCCCCAGAGGGTCAGACCGGCTTTCCTGGGTGTGGACGACATGGGAGAAACGCGTTCCCCTAGGCCCCTGCGGAGAGCGCCGCGAGGGGTTCAGGGGGTTCAGGGTTTGAAAACGTGGTTCCGCTGGAGTCGCGGGCCGAGGCCGGGCCTCACCTCGCAGGGCCGGGCGCTGCGTCCCCGGGTCCTCGCCGGTCCACCTGCCCGCGGTTGGGGAAGGGGAAGCCGGGGGATGTCGCCCAAGGCTGTGGTGGTGCCTCGTTTAGACTTTCTGGAAGAAGAGAGTGTTTTGACAGTAAAAACCACTTTTTCTTCCCTGGTGAGGAAGAAGCCGTACTCTACATTTGAATGCAGTGAAAAAAAAAATCTTAAGGAAATCACTGTTTTCCTACTCAAGGTATTTTGTAACGTGGTAGCTCCAGTGACGTTTCTCTGCATTTTTTCCCAGCGCTGTCTGGATCCTGAGACAACAATTGCAGTCATTTTTACCAAGCCGTTGGTATCTGGTTATCTTAGTGTCTGGGCAGTTTCCAAGCATTATCGCAATATTGCAAGTGTTGGGAATAGGTGCCTTTCTATAAGAATTACCAATAAATTCTAGTTCGGCATTTTGTGTTTGTTAACAAGCTGCGTGCGTTTATGGGAAGTGTGCAGTGCAGAGTTCGTAAGACTTACATCCCTGTTTATTGAGAGCTTCCTCTGTGCCAGGCACTTCCGTACTCGACCTCGCACCTTCAGAACACCGCTTTACAGGGATGCAGTCCAAAAAGGTGTCCCTCCTGGCAGACGGATGTAGCCCACCCCCAGGCCGGGTTAGTGGAGGGCCGGCAGGGCTTTAGTCCGCCCTCAGACCCTCAGACAGGCCCCCTGGGGCTGTGATCCACTGGCACCACAGTGGAGGAGGGGGAGGGATGTGCCGGGGGGTATTATCTTTCTTTCCCAGCGCAGGAGCCCAGGTGTCATGCGACAGTACTTGGTTAAACCAGGCCTCTTTCTGCTGTCACGAGATGCCAAAGATTATTTTTTCTTAGTTTTTGGACAGCGCATCTCAGCACGCTTGGAAAAAGGAACATAGAATCATTTTCTCAGCTTTCTGGGGCATTGGTTTCCTTATCTCTAAAGGGTGGATGTTGGACTAGATTACCTCTGAAGGCCCGCCTAGCACCAGCACCCTAGCCCTTAAACCAGGTTTGGTTCTTTCCAGAGATACTCCTTGATCCAGGAATACATATTTGAAAAGAAAAGACAGAATGTAGTAAGGTAACCTGGTTCCAGCCCTCAGTTAAGGAAGCCCTAAAACCTCTCCACTGACTCCTTGGTGATCTCACCTAATTTCTTGCACCTTAACCACAGCCTCTGCTCTGAGGACTCAGATTCAGTCTTCTCCGCCTCATTTCTCTTTAGGGATTAAATTCTCAGAGGCCAGTTCCTCTGGCTGATAGAGCTGTTTTCTTTTTCTCTCAAACAGATCTCCCTTTCCACTGTGTTCCCCATGGGAATCACCACCATCCTTCCACAAAACAAGGTTCTAAGTTTTATTTTCACATTCTCTTCATATTCAATCATTAGGTATTTGTTGTTCTGCTGCAGTAATTCCAAGATTGTCTTTTAACTTTTAATTCCTGCTGTCAGATACAGGTTTTGGTGTTGACCACAGGACCAGCTACATAATTTGCAGGACTCAGTACAAAATAAAAATGCAGGGCCCCTTGTTCAAAAATTATTAAGAATTTCAAAGAATGACAGGAGAACCTTAGAACAGGTGTGGAAGGCTTCTGAGTTTGAGTCCTTGTGCATCTGCACAGGATGTGTGCCCATGAAGCCATCCCTGATTGACCATCTCATTTAACTTCTTCTGGATGACCCACTTCCATCTTTTCTTCCTAATAGTTAGCATAAAATGTTTGAAAAGAGCCTTCTTTACAGGACACTTTCATCTAATTAGCAAAATTGGTTATTTTGGTGACAGACACTATTGGTCACAAACCCCCAGCTGTTTTCCAGGTCTTTCCTGCTGGCAAATGGCTACTTTGTTTATATATAATTTGACAGTGAGTGGGCAGGAGCTGAAGCCAGGAGGCCAGTTAGGACATCATAAACCCGGTAAGACATTATTATGGCTTGGCCCAGGGAGGGAGCAGTGAAGTTGTGGAAAGTTGTCACCTTCTAGGTATAGCTAGCTGGTAGAACCAACAGGATTTGCTGGTGACTTGAAGATGGTGTGTGAGGGAAAGAGAGGAATAAAGGACCACGTTGATTCCCTAAGCAATGGGAAGGATACAGAGTTCTCACTAACTGAAATGGGGAGCATTGTGGAAGGAGCAGGTTTGAGGGAAAATTTAGGAAATGAATTTCGGATATACTATGTTTGAGAAGCTTATTCTGAGTCTGCAGTTCTGAGGTGGGAGAAGGGCTAGAAATAAATTTGGAAGTTGTCAGCATAGAAATGGCTTTGAAAGCCATGGGATTCGATGAGATCCTCTAAAAAGTGAGTGTGTGAAGAGAAGCAGAACAAGGCCTAAGTCTCAGGAGGTCAGGGAACTAAGAATTGGCAAAGAAGACTGAGAAGGAGCAGCCATGTGCAGCAGGAGAGCGCATATGTTCCAATGTGTCTAAGACAGAACCATCAATGTGGCTGATGTGGAGGAAGGTGAGGACTGGATATTGATCGCTAGATTTAATAACAGGGGGTGACTGGTGAACTTCACAAGAGAAGTTTCAATGGATTACTGGGACCAAAACATAATTGTAGTCAGAGGAAGAAAAAAAGGAAGAGGAACTGGGAAAAGCAATTATAGTCAGTATTATCAAAACAAAATTACGAAAATATGCTGTATCTGTGCTGATTCTTGTGCTGATTGTGCCTTGAAATGGGATTTTCCAGGTGGCTGACACTAGGCTGTATTTTCTAGACAGAGCTTCCCAGTTCAATTATAAGCATAGTCAGTCAAGATACCCCTTCTAGAAACCCCTAATGGTCCCTTCACTGTACGTGGATATCATGGAAATTAGAGGTAAGAATGCTAAGTTTATTGGGTTTAATGTAACATATTAACTCAGAATGCTTGGAAACTAGAATGTTACGCAATCCTTTGTGTTATTTGAAATAACAAAATCAACAAAACACAAATGATCAAGGGCAGTTTCTAGTCTTTTCCAATGTTTCATTAAATGGCCTCAGCAGTGTTATTGTGATGAAAACAAATGCCACGTGATGAAACAGTTCCAGCCATAAAGATCCATCTTTACCCAGTGCTAAGGCTGGAAGCTTAGTTTCTAAAAAGGGGCTCGAATTAAGGGGAAATAAGTGGTAGGCACCCACCTCTGCCAAAAAAAGAATCAGTGGCATGAATAGCTTTCGAGCTGGGAGCAAAGTGAAGGACAAGAGATGCTTGCCTCAGATCTGCGAGCATGGGCTGGTTCTGGGATATGTTGAAGATAACGGCTCTCCTCTTGGGAAGGCCTACCACCAGGTAAATTTGATCAGTGCCTTAGTCCGTTCTGGCTACTATAACAAAATACCACAGCCTGGGTGGCTTATAGACAACAGACATTTATTTCTGACAGTTCTGGAGGCTGGAAGTCCAAGATCAGGGTGCCAGTGTGGTTGGGTTCTGGTAGAGGCCCTCTTCCAGGTTACAGACAGCTGACTTCTCCCTGTGTCCTTTCAAGGTGGAAGAGGTGAGGGTTCTCCTGGTCTCTTTTATAAGGGCACTAATCCCACTCATGGGGGCTTCACCCTCATGACCCAAGCACCTCCCAAGGACCCCACTTCCTAATACCATCACCTTGGGCATTAGGATTTTAATATACGAATTTGGGGGGATGGGAACATTCAGACCATAGCAATCAGGGAGAACGATTTTCAAGTGACCTCGTGGGTAGAATGTAAGATTGTTTGGCACACAGAGAGGAAGCCCTGGAGAAGATGGAAAGATGGATAGGTGAGATTGCAGGGTTTTAGATAATCAGGATAAATTCATCAGGCTGTGGTTTCTCTAGACAGGGTTTCTGGCTACTTCCAAACCTCTGGTTGGTTTTCAGCTTTGTATTTCCTGCTGTATACTATACATCTTCCCTGGGCCCCCCCAGACATCACAGCTTCTAAACAGCCCTAACTAAACCTGCTTCTCCTCCTCTCTTGCCCTCGTTTCTGCGGTCAGTGCAACACCAGTCACCTCATCATCCAGGAGAAAACCTGGGAATTACCCTACTCTCATGTCCCTCTCCCTAGCACCCTGTCACCTGTTCTGTCCCCAGCTGCCATCTGTTTCACTCCCTAACATACCTAGAATGAATGCCATCCTCTTTAAAGGTGCCCCGCTTTAGTTTCTCCTCTCATCATTTGGATTACTCCAGTAGTCTCTTAACTGTCTCCCCTACCCCATCTCACCCCCTCCAGTATATCTTCCTCAGTGCCTCTAGCGTGAACTTCCCAAAGTCCTTTAGTGTGCCAACGCTTTGGCGTGAAGCCCTCTTGGTCTGGCCTTTTCTCAGTCTCCTGCTCCTCAGCTGCACCCTGGGCTCCAGTCACACTGAATGGCTCTCTGTCCCCTTGTGTGATTGGCTCCTGAAACCACAGGGCCTTTGCATTTGCATCTGCCTGGATAGTTCTTCCATAGTTCAGATTAAGCTCGCCTCCGGGAAAGCCTTTTTTGACACTTCAGGCTGATTTGTGGGTCTCCCTTGAGTTTTCCACACCATTGTACGTGGCAAAGTGCAGCTGTGTAATTTATTTTCCTGTCTCCCTTGTAAGATGGTGAGCTCTGCGGCCAGGGTTAAATAGCAGATGGTGGCAGAACTCCACATCTAGTGAGCTCTGTTCACTGACCACCTCCAGGGAAGACCCTGCTAACTCTCAGAAGCAGCAGTGGCACAGGGTCTAGCAGTAATGTCTGGCGCCCAGCCTCTGCAGTACAAACTGTGCGTGGAGCCTGGGACCGGAGCTAGTGGCAGGGGCGTCTCTGATGGAGCTAGTGGCAGGGTCGTCTCTGATGGAGCTAGTGGCAGGGGCGTCTCTGATGGAGCTAGTGGCAGGGGCGTCTCTGATGGAGCTAGTGGCAGGGGCGTCTCTGGTGGAGCTAGTGGCAGGGGCGTCTC